ATCGTACATGTGTTAACAATTTTGTTAATAAAAATATTATCTGCTCAACTGAGAGTCTTTTGGTTAAATAGAATTGCGACAAATCTATAAACGCTTTTTACAACTGTGGTTGCAGAGTGTTTATAAAAAATGTCATTATATTAAATCATTACGCAGTCCTATTCATAACATTCATGTTTTCTGATGCAAAGTAGTAGTCCAAGAGTCATAAGCGTGGTTCGCGCAGGTACACAATGCATTCGACGTTTCTAATTGGCCAGAACGCCATTTATAGAGTGTATTGCGAGGTAAATAAGTACTAGGAGACTCAACAACGGTTGTGGAAGTCTACGATGGTGCCGACGGATTTACGAGTTTAATTAAGTTCTGCGGTCGCGTTTGTCATTTTAGTAGGCATCGAAGGCTCGTTGGCCAAGGTTCGAACTTTGCTTTCTTACAGAAGTACAATTGCAAAGAAGGAAAGTTTACGTTGTCGTTTCTTACGGCTAATCCCATTTTCATCGCGAGTCTTTTTCACGAAAATTTTCGGTAGATCGTTATTCGAATGTTAGCAAAGTATAACTCGATGTCGGAAATAATGAAATTGAGAAAACTTGAAAGAAAGGTGAATAAATACGCTCACGTGCTAAGTGCGCTGCTTCTTAAGGTGTCATAGATCTTTTCACATCCCACGAACGATTTAGCGCGTGTTAATAACCTCGCGATAGAGCATGATAGGGGTCGCCATGTTGCGAGGGTGAGTCGTGATAGGAGTGTATGTGACACTTTCCTAATTGCCTCGCAACTTCCTGCCCTTTCCCCTGTTTAAGAAAAGCAACCCTTATCCGCCTGTTTCTCGCGGGGCTGGTAGATCGGGAAACTTTCCAACAACTGGACGCACCTAATCCTTTCCCTTCCGCTGCGTTATGAAGACAACCATTTTACACAAGAAACTTTACATTGACAAAAAAAATGCAAATAATTAAATAAACGCGTTATCGTAATTATAAAAATAATATTTTGCATATACGCTATAATAGCACATGAGAAAGAAATGCTAAATTATTTTTCTATATCCTGGAGTTGTTAATCATTTCGATAGCGAGATAAATTGTGATTGTGCGCGCTGAATTTACGACAGTCGGATGTCGGTTAAAATGAGATATTGGAATTGGACTCGCCATATAATGCGTACACGGGTAAAATCGTGCCGTTCTCAAGAACATCGAAATAACGTTTAAGTAAGAGTGCCAGCTGCAGCAAGTAGCAGCAAGGAGGCGTAATAATCTTGTACAAGCACGCACTAGGCTTCCATTAAGCCGCGTCGGCAGCATTCTAAGTACTAACGAGTAAAGCGCACGAAGGCCGGAGGAGAGTTGGGTACCGAGATTCACGGTAGAGAGAGGAGGACAATCAGTAGGTGGAAAAAATCCGTGGAACAGCCAGAAAGGTAGCCGCATTCTTGGTAGCTGCAGAGGCACGTGGGAACCGCGAGATCGGACCTCCTCTCTCAATGCTCCCTTCGCACAAGGTCCTTTTCCGTGGATCTCGGTCCCGGCGGTGCAACGTTGCTCTCTCGTGTCGTCTTTTTGGACATCTTCTAGGTAAAGTACGAGCATCCCAGTAAATAGGTAAACAGCCGGCCGGTGCAGCCGCGGCCTCTTTGTCTCTTTCTCGCCGGCGAGTAATATGCCGGCAAAGGGGATATGAGAGAGATGATTTCCTTCTTGCTAACTCGCGACAAGCTGCTCCTGGATTCTTCGCGCGCACCTCCCGGGGACGAAGCTTGCAACGCGAATTACACGCTTCTTAACTTTAACCATCCGGTAACTGGTCGCACGTAAAAATCGTCAATCGTTTGCGCGGCCGAAAAATACGCCGGGCGAATTGTCATCACGAGAGAACGAGAGAGATCGTTTCTCTTATCAGAATCATTAATATTTTCTTTCATTCCTTGCTCTCACAGTGCCTTTTTCGTCACTTGTATATTACAACAAATTTACAAGATCCTAGGTAAAGAACTTTTTATTTATTCTTCGTGCGGAGTTTTCTAACTTTACTCGCCCATTCGTTTATCTTAGCCGGACAAATAACTTCCTTCTCGTAAATAGTATAGTCTTTCGCGAGAGAGAAGCGAGGAAGAGAATGACTGCGCGACGACGGCGACGGCGACGACGACGACGACGACGAGAACGAAGAAGGACGCGAAGACGGGAAACGAGAGTTCGCTTGCAACGTACACGAGTAGACGTGGAGGCAGACAGAAGGAGTCAGCACAGAATATACAATCAGCATGATTGTTTGACACCCCATAATCAGCGTCCTTACCCCTACTATGCCGGCAGCATCGTGGCCTCATCGTTCGTTTTACCCCTTCCCGCCCGCGCGATTCTCCTTTTCCTGGTGCCCAAGCGGGCACTCCTCTCTCCGTTCCTTTCACGTTGATATCACTCGAGGCCCGCTCCTTCCCTCTCGCATCATCTCTTCGGGTACCTACTCGGTCCGTTGCCACTGCGCGCGGGGCCTCATTACCCCGATCATGACTCGAAATGAGACTCGGCGGGGCAAGGAAGAAACGGACACGGTTATATTATAAGAGACAGAAATAATGCGCGCTTCTCTTTTTTCTTTACTTGGAGACCTCCCGACCGAAGTGGCGCTTACTCTTTCAGCGAAGACAATATATGCGCCGGTATTTGTATTTGGAAATTTGCACACGGTATTGCGATATACACACAAGAAAGCAATCGTCGAATGGATTCGCAATATTGGAGAAAAGTTGGATGAAAAAGTTTGACTTTCTTCTTATTTCTATTTTATTTTCTAAACTGTCCAAGCGTAAATCTTATCAACTTGATACGTAGTTACCTGCCATTACACATTTTTACTCTTATACTTATGATAGAATTTCACGATTTCACTTTTTCTTCCAACTTTCCAGCACGTACGTGAGATTTAGAAAGCAATCACGAGATGACGAAAGAAGAGCACGAAGACGAGAGAAGAGACGAAGAAGAGGAGGAGGCGGCGAATAGGTTCGATTCAGTAACGTCGCAAGCGAAGCGAACAGAAGATAAAAGGAAGAATCGCGCGAGCGAAGGGCAAAAACAACATGGATCCAGCTCCGGATCGATCGAGGAGCGACCGATCGATCCCTGGTATTACGCAGACGTGCACGTGAGCCGTACGTGAGTGCACGAGCATGTCGGGTGTGCCGTCGGCAGAAAGATCCGAATCGAGTGAAAAGAATTATCCGAAGATGGAAGGGCTGCTAAAGACAAAACGGATAGCACTCTTCTTCTCCTCTGAATCTGACGGGAGGAACAAGATTACATCCACTGACGCGCTTAGTCATTTTGCACCACGTATGAGAGTCCGGCGCGTCCATCCAAGTTGGGAACTGCTCATTAGAGATGCGAGGAAGGAAACAAGTGTCGAATGAATGAGCGGTAAATGGAATATCTGCCGAAATTGCATCCATTCATGCCAAGGTGATGCAAGTGAAATGCATCATTGGCTAATCTAACTCATTTGGCGTTTGCAATTCTGATGGCTAACGAGCGACTAACGAGAGGGCTCGCGTTCTTTTGGCTACGCAATGATAAGCTTTGCGCGGATAAATGAGCTAATTACGATGGTCGATCCATACAAGTGTCTCGGGTGACGAGAAGTCACAGTCCGGAAGGTGACGGAGGACCTGATCGCAGGGCGAGAAGAGGCGAGAGGAAGCCGGGGTTGCGGAGGAGGAGATTAGGGCAAAGAGAAACCGCAACGTAGCTTCAAAGAGGTCTCACCAGCCAGAGGCGCGTCTACTTAACTTTGATCAGGTCGAGACCGCTGATGCGAGACGAGCCGCGCAGAAATAAAGTGCCTTGCCTCGACCTTCCCGCCTTTTTGCATCCTAAATTATCTCGATAGTTCGAAATATCGAGAAGCTATCCGATCGCGCGAAGCTCGCGCGGAGCTCGCGCGTTGGATAGTTTCTGTCGTCATGGCGCGCGCACGAGAGAGAGAGAAGTGATCGCTTTTTTGCTAGCTGGACGAATTTCTAACATAATTGAACGATTTAAAGCCACTGCGGTAATTTTCAGACGATTCTTTTTATCAAAGGAACATTTTTTTTTAATAAAGAAAAAATTAACGCGTAGAAAAATATCTTTGTAGATCTCAGTAGCTTATTCGCGACCGATGATGTTCTTCCATGAGGAGGAGGACACTTTTTCCTCGTGCTACGGCGACGCAACGGTGCATCGAGAGAGATCGGCAAGGAGGGAGATGGAAATAGCAGGTTGAATGTCGTTATTACGTTGAATTAGAGGGTGCAGAGCCGGAACGAGGTATGAAACTATTACCTCGCGAAACGGCAGAGATCTCCTCTCTTTCCCTCCCAATCCGGGATCTCCCTCCCCGATTTCTACCTCTTCACCCTTTCGCGACAAAGGGTTGGGTGGGGTAGAGTGTGTATCGAGTCACTCTTCACGAGGCATGGGTGCGTGAAAAGAGCGCGAGATGATGATAGCAGCATCATGGATATTCATCACGAGCCGAAGGAGCAAATAAACTACAAGTTGTTGCTTCTACTTAACACTTTTTGTTAGACAAGTGGTATGCAAATTTCCACCGAGTATAAACAAATCAATCTCTACGCGATAACATACGTAGAGACTATCTTTTGAAAAATGTATCCAGAAAGATGAGATAAAATTTAACATTTTATTTAAAACAATTCTTGTTAAAAAATTTGAAATTTTTCTTCTCTTTCGAGAAGAAACGAGTGTATTAAAATTGCACGATGTCGAAACAAGTGACAATTGTTTTCAATTTTTTAAAGATTCAAACTCGTTTGTATAGTAATGAGAATTTATATACTACTTGCGTATTAAATAAAAAGAACATCTCTATTTTGTTAACTTGTGTAAACGGGCCAAAATGCTAATGAGATTGTAGCTCGGCGTAAAACAAATCGGACTTGAAACTATCGAGGAGGATTAAAAATAGGCAACAATAAGATCAGAACTCACCGCCGTGTTGAGGACTGCGCTTGTAGCAATCCTGATGAACAGAAGAGCCGCCGGTAGCCCCGAGGTGTGTACTGGAAGCCGGCGATGCGGTCGGGTCGGTGTTGTTGGGGTTGGTGCAGGCACCGCTAACCGAATTCGTGGTGACGTTGTTGCCAGTCTGCTGGTCGTGTAAGTGACTGCTGCTGTGATGATGGTGATGCTTATTCCTCCCGAAGGATTCGAGTTCCCGCAGGTGGGACCTGAACGAGGTGGGCGCGTCGAGGAAGGGTCTTTGTCCTAGACCGAGCGCGCGGAATTGTTGATGTTGCTGCCCTGAAAAAAAGTTATTCGCGATATCAATAGTATGTCACATGTATACGCACATACATCATTACTACTTGTTCGTCATCGAGAGATGCATCGTGATGAGAAGGCTCTAATATTTCTTCACTTACAAATCGCTTCGCAAACAATTCTAATATCCATTTTAGACATTTCCTTTAGACATTATCTGGATTTTTATGTCGCTTTGACACGGTTCGGACACGTTGGAATCTCTAAATCGGGGAGATTGACCAGCGCGCGTCTACGTCATTAGTCCAATAGAACGGGATAATGAAGAAACTCGACCTCTCTTCCCTTGATAGACTTCAATAGCATTCCTCGCATATCCGGGGCCTCATAGATAGACAGAATCTCGAGCCAAGTATCGCAGCGTATACATAACGTGGGTATTCCGATTCCCTATTACGTCGGATCCTAATACACGCTTGATACATATTGTTACACGACAATGCACATGACTCGGCACGTGCACAAGCCCGGACGCTTACATAATAATCGCAGATGTATAGATAAAATATTGTACAAGACGAAATGTATTAAATGTGAAATTATTACCTTTTGGGATACAACTTTAACGACTTTTGAAATTTCACGAAAAATGGCCGATAAAAGAAGTAAGTGCAACATATGTTTTTCGACGCGTTGAGAATTAATCTTGAGACTTTCAATATCTGCATACCGATGTGTCTGTGGCAAGACAACGGAAACTCCGAGGCCATTATCGATAGGCAACAGGAGTAGCACGTTTGCCTTCTTCTTCTTTCTCTCTTTCAATAGCTTCAGCATCACGGAGGAGAAGCGAAGAATGGGAGCTTAGGCGCAAATTGTTATTCTTCGAGAGTAGAAGGAGAAGAAAGAGAGGCAGTGGGAGAGAAGGACGAAGACGGGGAAACGAAGATAAAGGAGGAGAGAGAAACACCTCCGGCCACGAGGGCGAACGACAAATAAAGTTCGACCACAAACTGCACGAAATTGTCGGCGAGCCCAGATGGTCAGAGCTTCAGTGCTCTGACCGATGCCTACAAGATTATTCCTTGCTACCGACTATCACGATCGGCCCGCGCCAGGAGATACTACAAGCGAGAGGCTCGTGTATAGGGCCCCGTGCGGATCCCACGACTTCTCACGTACCGGACACCGATAATGCCCCAAACGTACGGAACGTTACGCAGCTCGGGCTCGCTCTCGCGCAAGGTTAAACGGCAGACGCGAATTAGTTTTCTGCACAAAAACCTTTTCTGCAAAAGTAAATTTGAGACATACGGATGACCCATAGTTGTTCACGTGGACAAAATTCCTTTTGCGCAAAGTATAATCGCGACGAATGCAACTCGATGATAGTCAAGATATAAAAATGCGGAAAAGAAAATGGTCGGTGGAAAAAAATGTAATTACAATAAACGAGAATGAGATGGTGATATAACACCTTCATCAATCGCCCCTCTAACTCGCGAAGCGGAGTCGGATAAGCGAAGGGAACAAGGAAGAGAGAGAGAGAGCAATAATTCCAATCTCCACGGCACAAGTGGTGGACTTATCTAATCAAAGTGTGGCGGCTCCGGGAGGACGGAAATAGCGCGGCTTTTTCCTCCTCTCTAATAACGGGGCCTCTCTCTCTCCGCCCGTCTTACGTTCTCCTTGACGCCAGTGGCCAGGCCGATGCAGCGTTTCCTACATTTCATTCTTCTTTTCTCCTTTTTCATTTCCTAACGTTAACGCACTTGGCATATCCACGTACATCCGCTCTCGATTTCAGATCGTCGATAGGCGATAACTGCGAATAATTTTTCTAGAGACTACCATTCACGATTATACGGTCGAGCGGAAGCTTCGCTAGATCCGCCACTTTTCGACGTCGCTTTATCAGGAGGTGGTCTTTAATCAGACTTTTCGGTCGCCGATAGAGCCTTCCTCTGACCGGTATCAGGATCAAGAGTTGGCCACGAGGGAATCCAATCGCGAAGTAGTCCGGTCCAATTTTAACATTTTGATTGACGGCCACCGACTGCCGAAATTGCTTCGTATGATTCCTTTCGTCGCTATCGGTTTTCTCGAAAACAACATTTAAGAGAATGTCGATTGGCGAACGTACGATTTTCTAGCGATAAAGCGAAACGTTGATTGACCTGCTAGTAAGAAATGGACGAATCGGCATCTCTCGCGTATTGCACGATACAGAATTCGGGTCTCGCGAGTTTCTCAAAAAGTGACACCACGTTCTCTACCGCTCGTTATTAAGCAAAAATACGACGGTAGAAAATTCATCGTTGGCAACGTACCTACCAGGCGATACCTCGTTGTCCGTATTAAAACCGAAAATCATTTCGCGAATCTATGGCATCCTACTAATAGACGACATTTCAAATATGGATCAATTACGGAGCGAAGCAAATTCAATTTCGACCTTTGACTGACAGCACCCATCCATCGATATCGTTTCGCTCGCTTGCATTTCGATGATTTCGGGCCACGGTGACGGGCAGCGGCCACTTTGTTTCGCGGACGCCTCTCTCGTTCTCGATTTATCCGTACCGCGCTCGATCCTGCGTTACGCTGCTGCTGCCGTTTCAGTTATTGGCAACTGACAAATTACTCGGATACTACTTGGTCGTCATTGATCCGTCTATCGCGGAAAGTCCAAGCTATCACCTTGAGTCTTTCCCGAACAATCCCTCTCTCCTTCTCACGCGTTATTATCAGAAACGTTTCTTCGCAAAAGATTGTATTATACGTAATGTACGTTATAATTTACCTTGCGTATGCGAGGAGAGAGAAAGGGAGATTTTTCGCCTCTCTTCCTGGAGGACAGGAAGGACTATTCTAAACTCTTTCGCTGGCAGTGTTGCGAAGCGGCGAATTACGAAAATTGCCCGATTATTGGCCACATCGGTCTATGGCACACGGAGCGCGGCGCGGAGGGATGATTTCCGATAACAAAAAGCTTGCGATTATGCACGCAATAATGAGAGTTGGCAGGTGTCTGCGGGGCATCGAGCGTCGCGCATTGTTGGCAGCACAATAAAAGCGCTGCCGGTTGTTTTGCTCGACGGCGTTCGTACGCCGGTTGCTGCATAGATTGTCTCCCTGGTGCGTGCCGGCCGATGAGGCACGCCATCGGCGATGCCAAACCCGTGTATGCAATATGTCGTCATGCGTGTTCTATTCCGCGACGGTCCGTGCCACGCGACACGCGTTCGTTCGCGCTGTCTCTTTCGGTTCGGAAAGGGCCAGTAGGTCGGCGACGTCCGGTCTGTTTGAACCGACAGCTTAAACGACGTGAACGAGCTTCTCGTTTGAAGCGGGTTCCACCTACCACTTGTAGATCGTTGGAAAAGACGATAATCGTAAAGTGAGATCTACTCGTTAGATCTGAACGATCTTGGAGGAATCCGTCGATCGTTCGGTCGAATCGAAACGAAGCACCTTTGCTGGGACATTAAAGCGTTGGATGGCACAAGATATCAGAGTACATGGGCGCGACTTGAAAGTTTAACTCCGTCGTTAAGTGCACTTTATGCTGGCTGGAAAATTGACGAGATTCACGCATTTTTGCACCTGGTCCCGGCCGCCACGCGGCCCGAGTCAAGCAGTAAAAACAACAGTAAAATCAATCACGCTCGACCATTTCGAAAAAAAATAGTGGAGCCGGCGGGTGTACGCGGCGCCCTGCTTCCATCAATACTTTATACAACAAATGCGAAACGCCCGCAAAAAACTGCCGTTTTCGCGGTTAACTCCGCAACGGCTATTAATCTGATATCGAAATAACGACCATTTTTTTTGCTCGCCGCGGATGCATCCGAAAATAGGTGTCGGCTGAATCGTCGGGCGCACAAGCGCGCGATATCTCCTTCTGATCCGACGCGACGCGGAGGGACGGGACCCGCAGTTATAAAACTGGAGGGTCGGGGCAGCCACCCCCGATCGACTTTTGCTGCGTTTCGCGTGATTCGATCAATTTTGGCCGACCAATAATGAATCCGCCAACAGAATGTTTTAGTAATTTTTCGGGTGTTTCCGCGGCAAATTAGCGTAAGTGAGTTAGCGTATCCGGCGGGCGCACAAACGCGCGCTTGTAAAAGCATTGTCTCCCGCGTCTATGTACGTAGGCGCGTGTGTAGGTGCGCGAATAGCCCGGCCCGAAACACGCACCAAGCGCGATACGCACGTCGACCACTGCATCATCGCGCACCATCTGCTCGGTAATGACTCCCCATTACCGCGTACAGGGACTTTCGTTGAATTATCGCTACATTTTCAGGGAATCCCCGGGGCGGTGCAGAGCCGCGCCGAATAGATCTCGCGCGATCGAAGCGTCGCGCGTAAAGTGTGCACGTTCCACTTACTCGTTTTCGATCGTGGCTCCCGCGGTCCATCGACGGTCACCTTGATCGCCCTCGTGTACGTTGCTACTTGGGGTGGCGTCGTCGACACGGTAATGGTGATGCTGAAGCTCTTTCCTGTCACAGAGAACGATGATAAATTCACCTTTCATCCTTTACTCTTGCGCATTCTTCAATTAGTTAACAAATTACGATATCTAGGCTCGCGAGTAAAGTCGCATACACGCTGCAGTTACTTAGATATTTCGCATATTTATTTCATCGAGTGAAAGCTAAGAAACATATTCATTTCTATGTTTGAAAGGAAGGCGAGGCCCAATTTATAATTTGCAATTTTGCAATTACATCCGCGTCTATTAGATCTTAACGGAGTATTCTTAAGCACGTTAAAAGATAATAGAGGAGGAGTGGATACTCAGGGGTGGAGCGTCGTGTACATATATCATCGGTGAAGGTCTGGAAGTTGAAGGCTCGGTATATTAATTCCTTCTCCATAAACGTCCGTCGAAGAGATTGACTACGCGCTCTTAAACGGCCCATCGCGCGCTAATATGCATTCGGTAATTCGCCGCTCTTTCGCAACTCTTCCGTAGAAGCAGCCAGTTGTCCCTTTCGACCAATTGTCCCTCTCGGACGGAGGGTTCGTTCGCGCGCGGCGCGGCGAGAAATTTACACCGAACTTAGCCTCTCGTTATTTACGTTCTCCGGAATTAGAAACAGACAGAAGTTCGGTATGTTTAGGCCAGACGGGCTAATAGCCGACGCAGCGGGCGATACCTTAAGGAAGACAATTCGTACGATGCCATTCCATTTCGCGGAAACCGTTGGCCGAAACACTCGGTGTCAACTTGTCCAATATGACGAAACGAAACACGACCAAGACTGCTGTTTACGCCCAAAAGAGACGATACCTAACGCGCCGCGGACATGCAATCGTTTGTGTTGGCGTAAATGTCAACGATTTGTAATTGTCTCCCCTTGGTACACCCAGTTCCACCTCGCTGTGTCTGTCAACATGATAACCGGCATCAAACACCGCCAACCCCGCACTACCCCCGGGAACTGCAACTGACTGCAGAGCTACATGGCGTTATATCCCAGTTATATCGCAGCCCTCTCCGCTCTTCCGCGATAGAATCACCCTCCGCCCGGTCCCAGGACGGCCTTCCGCGGCCGTCATTGCCATCGTCATCGTTCATCTGTCGCGTGCAAAGAGCATCGTTTCGGGATGTCGATTCGAATTTTTGCGTCAAAAGGCGATTTCTCTAACGTCATTTTTTTTTTGCAAAAATAGAACGACCGTTCAACAACGAGGATAACGGGTAATTTTTTCAGGTATTCTCGGCAAGGGCCTAGCTTCCCGAAAGTATCGTGTCAACCAAACTAGAGAGTCAATGTCATCTCGATACAAACTGAGACGATTGAAAAATTTCATGGATCAAAGATCGAGAAGGATTTGAATTGGGAAAATCGCGGAAAATCCGAGGACCGGCAAAGTCGAAAGAGTGGAACGGGGGAAGGTGGCGGCCGGTGGGAGGAAGGGTCGCGCGTTCAACTAGACCCCCTCTCCCCCGGCCGAGTCCATCGCATTTGGGGCTAATAATGCCGCACAGCCGACTCCCCTCTCCGGCGCCCGAACCTGCGGTTAATACTCGATGATGGGAACGGTCATCTGCAGAGACAGGACCCAGCCTGTGCATTCGCGAACGACGGACGGTCGGTCGAACGAACGGACGGACGGACGGCGGACGGACGGACGGACGGACGGATGGACGGACGGACGGGCAAACGGACGGACGGACAGACAAAACCGGGCCACGCGTATGTGGCACCTATATAACGTGCAGCATCACAGCTTGACTACTCACGATCTCCCTGCGCACGTGTGTATATGTGTATGTGTGTCGGTGCGTTGGCAATACACCGACGATGAGATGAGCGCGCCAACCCAAACCGCCCACACACAACCGCCCGAAACCACTCGAAACCGTCCGTTAATACTCGTGGCGACGAGCGGAGGGGACGAGATCGCGTAGGGCTAAGCGAGCAGCAGCGTACGGGGTAGAAAGGCTAAGGGGGTGCGGGCGGGTGGGCGAAGGGGACGAGAGCGGACGCACGTTGGTGGTAGGGACGGAGCGGAGGTCCCAGAGTCTCCCAACAGGATGTCTCTGCAATTGTCAAATAATTACTATCGGTGGTAATTTCAGCCGTGTCGATATAGACTGCGGTATATTACTAATTATAGGCACGGGCCGCTTTCGACCCCGGCGATGATGATGGAACGGCCGTCGTCGTTTCAGTCTCCGCGGCCCTCTTTGATTCGGCGCCACCATATCCCCCTTCTTTCCGCGTTTTTCCAATTATCCGCGAGCGAGTACGCGATAATAACCGGAACCGTACAATCTTCTAAACGCGTGGAGCGTCCTCACCTCCTCGGCCTCTTTTCAAACAGCGGTCGACGTTTCATGAGTTTATGATAGTTTTAATGAAAAGAAAAATGATCGTCGACCGGCTTGCGGTTATTTCGTGTTATTTCCTTTTTAACGTAGACTGACTTTAATAGTCGGCTGATTAGAGGTAATAAACCGTGACGTGTGATCGGTGAGTTGTAATCTCTTACGTGACAACAGAAGACACGTGTAAAAGCAATTTCAATCAGATATACACTGCCGGAGAAAATTGTGCGGTGAGAAAAATCGCCAGAGGGATATCAGCCCTCGGCTCGCCAAGTCGCCGAAAAATAATCTCGTCGCGTTGGTACGAGCCGCGATCGCTCTTTTTAATCGAGGAGGCAACGGCCGATTTTTCGTGGCCTCGCCGTTTTAAAATCCTCGCTGCAATTTCTTGAATCAGTTTGCCGGCCGATGCGATGCAATTCAATCAAATTAATAAGTCGCGGAAACAAAACCTCGATGATAGGAGGGCCGGTTCGCCCGATGGTGGTGGCCAGTATCAACACACCGAGAGCGGTTTGGTCAATCGCCGAAATTGAGTATTATGGATTATCGGGGAGAGATTGAAACGACAAAAAAAAAATAACAACGAGCCGAAAAATGGACAAAGGGATCGAAGGATTTTGGGCGAGGGAAGTGTCTCTTTCGCTAATTGACTCCGGGGACCAATGCACCTGTGCGTCAGGAGAACGAAAATCGCTGACCCTGCACTTCATGATCAAATCAAATGAAACATAGATGACGCGCTACGGGACGAATATCCCGCCGTATACGACCCGTTAATTCATAAACGCGCCCTCCGGATCATGGGGTGCAAAATGCATTTGTAGGCTTTGACAAAGCCGCCTGCTGATCCGTGAATAATTATTATAGGCTGGGAAATCGATATTTCGAAAACGCAAATGAGGTCGAATGTGCAACCATGGAGGTTACATAAGAAAAACAATCACATTTACCTTGTACCAAATATACCTAACTTCTCATTGTATTTGTATTTTATTATAATTATCAGAGAGAAACAAGTTTGTATCAATTGTGCGAAAGAGTCGCGAGGGATAAAAACAAGAGATAAGAAATTAGGGTCAAACGTTAAACGAGTCAAGAGCGTCGATCGACAACGTTGGTTGATTTTGGCAAGTCATCCTCTCCGTCTATATCTGTCTATATCCGTTGGATGATTTCTGATTAACGGCCAGTTGTTTCGAATGCTCGGTTGGGGCTTGTGGCAGACATCGAGTAATGACTCTGGGGGTGGCAGGAGAACGGGAACTCGCGAATGGGGACACGGGGATGGACGAGGGTGGCACGATGATGATGATTACAATAACCGTGATTTTAGAGGGCTGGAAATCGCGGCACGCGCTTTTGTCCGTCCTAATACACAGCGCTGTAGTTTTCCGTTATCAACTTCAAAATGATCAAAGGTGTAATAAATTGTTTTCGGAAGGAGACAATTGGAATATGAATACACTCCCGTCACAAGCGCACCATGCCTTTTGTTAAACGTGGCAAGCCACCAAGTACCTTTTTGCCGAACGGAAGGATTAATCGAGAGACAAAAGCGAAAATGTAACGATCAGAGAAACTCACCCCTGCCGCTCCTGCCGACGAATCTAAGGTCGTTAAATTTAGCAACTTGATTCTTCATCAGCGCGGTAGAGTTTCGCAATTCGGCGCAACAGTTCTCGTCGTTACCAGCGCGAACTGTCACCAGAGTCCCATCGCCAATCTCGCCGAGGGCAACCACTTTAAATGCCACTGGGAGTGTTTTGTTGGATCGCCAGTGCGTCGGTAGTTGACTGCACAGAAAGTACGGCGATCCTGAAACAGACATTTTTTTCATCATACATGGAACCCTTCGTTCGGTTTAAGTTAATTTACTTGTTGCAGTTGCAATAGAAGAGCTAATTGAGCTACTTAAAGGGAGAAGAAGAAAACGCGAACTGACACCAACCTGTCCTGACCAACTCTCCGGGATGTTCGGCTTGCGCTTCGCCGACGAGCCTTTCTGTCCACCAAAGTTCGCCGACGGCGGCACTTTCGCTCATTTCGCCGCCTCCACCTCCGGCGTCGGCGTCGTCTACTTGGTGGTACCTGCTGTTTACACCTTGCAGCGGCGCCAGGGAGGGACCACACGGGCCGGCGCCTTCGTGAGATCCAACGGTGCCGTAATTCTCCCCGCAGCCCACGGAACCCACCGGTAGATGCATCCCATCGGCCAGTAGCCGCCCCTCGTCGCCTAAGCACGCACCCCCCGGCCGGGACGTCGTGACTTGACGCTTACTTCGCAGACGGAGGTGCGACTGGTCGTGCCTCGCTACCAGCCTCCGCGGCAGATCTTTCGCTCTTCGTAATCGATCGGTCGTTCCTTCCTCTGGATCGCGTCGATTTTCATCATCGGTCGCGAGATCGTCACTACGTCGGAATTCCGTTCCGGTCTTGATCCACGATCGATGCGGCGGCGGCGGCGGCGGCGGCGATGGCGGCTCTTTTCAACTGACAATGAGTCTCGCGATGTACCGTTGCACTTCTTGCGCGATGCGCGATCGGAGAAACCGGCAATTTCAAATACATCGTCACTGTCTATCGTCAATTAACATTCGTTATCTCAAAGTGTCACTCGTAACCACATAAAAAATCCCCCCCCGCCTCTTTCTCCGTGTCTCTTTAGGAACACTGTCGGCCAGCGGTACAACTCAAACTACCCTAAATCATCTGTCGCGATTTCTATTCCTACAGGTTGTCGCTACGGGATGACGATTTCTCGAATCCGATATAACGTCACGGCATTACACTTGGATAAACGGAACACTTATCCTACATAACGCCTCCTGACATCTCCTTCTGGCAACGGTCCGAGTCATGCTCGCGACGATCGGTGTAGAGAGACCGGTCGACGATCCTCTCGCGCGAACATCAGTCGCGGTCGACGGTGCGCGACGTAATGCCGCGCGGAGTGGCTCGGTGGACCGCGTGTTCCGCGCGTAAGCGGCCCGGGACGGCCTAAGCCCCGCGACTCTGGACCCCCGACCCCACTTCTACCCTCCAACTGACGCCCCTCGGTGGCAGGAACAAGCTACGCTCCAGCGCTCCCACCACGCGAATGCCCGCCCCACGTCGCGTCACTTTTCGCACCGTGATCTCCGCGGCGGAATCCTCCAACGTGCCGCTGGCACTCCTCCTCTCGACATTTTTTTTTTCTTCGGCGTTTCCGTCGTCCGGCCGACGAAACGATGACCGTTACTTTAGACGGGAGATACTCCGCGCATTGACGTTTGCAAATTTCCCGGATTACGAGCTGGCATACGCGATATGCATCTGGATAAATTCCCCGTGTGGAATTCCCCGTGCGTCACAGTATTCGTGTAATACTTTCCTATACATCGATTAGCGATTTCGTGCAGTCGCGTTTATATGCCCAAGCATTAATCTCGAGACTTATTAAAATAAACATCTTGATAAAGATCGGTTCTCAAAATGTTCTCGTCGTAGAGACGTAGAACTTGCTTTAGTCAACGACGATCAGTCGCCGTTCAGGCCACCTCTCCTGGTCAATGACGAGGGGGGAAGCACCGATAAAATTATCGATGTTATCGCGTCATTTCTCAGGACGGCCCAACCTCCCAGTTGCCACGATATGATGAGTCCAGCCTTCGAGTGACTCTTCCCCTCCTTTCTTCGCAAAGTGGTAATGCGCGATGTGGAGGTAAAACACGTCTTGCGGCCAAGATAATACAAGCCAGCGAATCTGCCATTACACTTATCCACCATAACTTAAGTTAAGTTAACAACATTTACAAGTAATACATTTAACATGACCTTGCTATTATTTAATTCTTTACTCCATAAAAGCAGTATAAATGGCTCTTGATTTTCCGTGATTTTTTGTTATATACAAGCATTATAAATATTAATTTACATGCATGTAATGTGCAATTATGTAAGACGAGAAGAATTTCTACGAGAGATGCAAGCCTAATTACAATCGAAGGATGAAGAAATATTTTCAAGGAGAAATACTTGTTCGGTGTAGCGACTAGTTTCTTATGCAAAATCTCTACGATACAGCATCCCATCAGGCAACAGCAAGGCGTAACAAGTGTCTGTGTGACGTCATTCGGCTTTCTGGAGGCGGAGCCTCTCGTTGGGGAAGCAGGTAGAGGGGTCGAACTCTCCCGCATCATGCATCGCTTGCCCCACCCCCGCGATTTTGTTCCTTTGCGCCTCCACCGCTTTCCACCTCCTGCCTCTCTTGACCCCTTTTCCTTTCACGAGGAAGCTTGGATCTCAATGCTTCTCTTGTTGGAATATTAAAATTGTAGTTCAAAGGAGTAATATTCTTCGGTGATCGGCTATCGCGTTCATTAAATAATTCTCCATTAGTTTTTAATGATCCACTGAATTGGCTCTTACGAGATTGCTCGTCCCAATTAACAGATCACGCAGCTGTACGATTTGCTGTTCAGATAACAACGGATATAGATTATCTTACTCTATGTAAGTTTCCCAAAGAAATTTATCTACGATATAATTAATTATTGGACAACATACAAACGTCGAAGATGCTGCCATTTTTCAAATCTTTATGTGATTTGTTGTTAGAAAGTTGCTAGGATCATCGTATTTCAGGCTCGCCAAAAATTCTGAATCGCGGTCACAAGATGCTACTGTTTATTGCACTGTGGTCTGTGCTGAAGTGTAATCGAGAAGGTAGATGCGGTTTGTCGTGTTCGCAAGAATATAGGTGATTAACCCCCTGAATGTGCTCTTTGTGTATGGGGATAAATTTATCAATCGCTCGCCTATCCGCGTCGCGAAATGTTCGGAATCGCCGCAAAAATCGGCACTACGATCAATCGCGAAACCGCAACCGCCGCGACCGCATTATTTGTATGTTACACAAGTAACAACGCATACGAGCACGAATTAAGACATTAACTTTTTCGAATAATCCTTTCTCATCAATTGCAACTCGAACGGTAGATAACAGGTGCCGATTTTTTTTATGTATATGCTTATACATATATGAAACATATGTGTAAAAGGAATTAGCATACATTTGGTTCATGTTGAAACCAAACGTGCTGTCTCAGGTGGAAATTTTGCCTGGTTTTACTTTGAAACAATCAGGGCCCCGTATATTTTTTGTAAAACATCTCCGGAATCCAGATGGAAAATCTAGCTAGGGTCTGCGTAAAATTTGGGACGCCTAAATCGAACAGGTCCTATCGCTGAATCCAAATCGATCGGTCCAAGATTTCGCACGGAATTTGTTTTAAAAAATTATCTTTGTTATCCTCACTGTCGGTTTTCATTATTAAACACATTATTTTTCTAATTTTTTTCTCGCGTAACATTTTCGTTTCCACAACAATCGTGAGAACGTCCATGTATCTTTGATGTCGCTCATTATCTTAACTGTGTCAAAACTACAATTGTGACCGCACTAATTAAGAAGACAATTTACTTTATCGCTTTATAAACAAAACTGACACACTTATATTTAATTATGCGTATATATGTGTATTATACAGTACGTAAATTTTATCTTGGGGAAAACTAGGTAAATTTCACCGTTATAGTTTGGACCCATTAGGGATATTTAAAGCTAGATTATTCAATCTAGATCCCATAGTTTTATATCTATTTTGGGAAAATCTGTCAATGGCAAGCTAGGACCCATGTAGATTTTCCGACTATTTTTCTCTCGGTAAAATCAAGGTAAATTTCTAGGGTGTATTCTAAACCTAAACGGATATTTTAAACTGGATTTTTCTATCCTGGCCCTGTACTTAATCTCGGCAAATTGAGGCAGATTTCTACCTGGGGTAGAATATCAGAATGTTGTTATTTTATATGTCAAATAGCGATTCTGATTTCACTTAATAACGACCTTTGAATGAGAAGCATTTCGCAGATATTGCACGTTAAGAAAAGTGTTAAGAAAGCTATTAAGAAAAAGTTCTCTTTAGATAAATTTAGTTAATTTGATTTATGTTCGACTGAAAATGGTGGTTCAGTAAAACATTCTTCAACTGCGACAAGATTATGCCCGACGGCTGCATTAGGCAGTACGAGATAACAGATTAACTGCGGGTGGCCAAAATACATACAAGGAATTTTTGACGCATTTTTATCAGAGCGACGGTATCGCTCTGGTTGTGAGCCACTTCCAGCGCCACCGGAAAAGCTTACAAGACCGCCTTATCGTTGATTGCTTTCTCAGAAAAGTGTCGGCTTACACAAATAATATTCTGTGCGATGTATGCTTTACAACTCCTTTAACAATTACAAAATTAAATTTCTTCTTGTTAGGAAATTTACTTGAGTGGAAAGATACAATTTTCAGAGCCATTTAATTATTGAAGTAAAATATTTTTTTCATTTCTTATTGATTCTATGTTTCGCTACAAAAATTGTTCAATTAAATAATTGAATTTTAATTTTAAACGAATGTTACATTTTTATATAACGCGTATAGGAAATATATGTTTTACAATGTTATAATTTAACATAATAAAAAAGACATAACAAAATCTCGCATACATGTCTTACAATATACGCTCCGTTTTCATTGCAAGATTTAACAGTGAAAGGCAAACTCTTGTTCTTTCGGTGGATAAAGGCGGTGTGTCGTTTGGCATAAGTTAATTTGCCTTCTAGGCGAAAGCCGAGCTAATGAACTATAAATAAGGGAGGAATACTTGTGCCAAGTGGACAGCCGCACTTACTGACCCTTCGTAATTAAAATCCCGTCCTAAATCAGGACTAGGGATGCGATTAGACGAGGATCGTTCCTGCTCCGTCAGCTTACCAGCAAATCCGCCGCGGCCCTTACGTATGAACGCTCATCTCCCTCGGTTCTTACACGCGCGTGTAAATTTGCAGCGGATAACTTCATTACAAATATAAAGCTTCCGAAAATCAACTTAAAAATGCACGACTAATGCGTGAAAGATACACGAGAAGATTGCAATTTAATTCAATGCGTATAATAAGATGCATTGAAACCATTTTGTGTTATAGTTGGATAATTTGGAGTTATAATGGCCTGATGACAAATATATCGTGGCACCAGAAAGTATTATTACTAGAAACGAAAAATAAGAACGTGGTCTGTTCGTGACCATACGGAGTGATTCTTTTCGTTTCCGTTTCCGATATAATTTGTCTTTCGTTAATTCAGCTACGAAGCGTGCAGTTAATAATCCTTTTGCGCGGAACACGCGATAAAAAGAAGGGCGGGTGAATCGAGAAAAGAATTTGTCGGAAAGACGGTACGAAGGCTTACTATACAATAAAACATATATGTTATAACTTTTAAGTACAAGTAGATATGAAAGTAGATATGAGAATAAACAGTGTGCTGCGAGAAAGAACGAAATTGATTGCGTATACGAGTGTGAACTCGTACAGAGCTCACAAAATATAGAGCTTATTTTATCGACGTGTCAATTATTGGCACATTTTGTACAACAGAATGTCAATTACGAGATACGTTTGAAATAGCACTATTTCACGGTGAAATATTAATGCTTAATTAAGATTCGTTCTCGAAAGGCTTCTCTTTCATTTTATTCCACTCCACGTGTCGTTTGAAGGATAAGTAACAGAGGCGATAAAAATAGAGAAAGAAAAAGAGAAAGAGAGAGACGCTACGATATTATAATAGATACGACACACGGAGGTCTCGAATGCGCCACGATTAAACGAGTTGAAACGCAGCTTTCCCGTCACCATTACCTTCCATCCTCACGTCCCTCTCGGCGGTTATATTTTCCCCGACCACCGCGACGTAGATACGTCCACCCTTGTATGTTCCGTTAATAAGCTTAATAAAGCCCCGTTGCGACTGTCTCCCTGTATTGTCCAGTACACTCCAGATTCCAACGATACAGGGATGGCACTCGAGTCTCACGTAACTTGGGAAAGCAGCACCTGGCAATGCCATCGATCACCGCTTTGAAAATTACATTTTCACCAA